AATCGCTTGAAGCAGGGAGGCAGAGGTTGCAGTGAGCCAAGATTGCGCCACTGCCCTCCTGCCTGGGCGTTGCAGCCAGACTCCATCTCAAAAAAAAAAAAAAAAAAAAAAGGTACAAAAGTATTTTCAGGTCATTTTATTATTTCAGAGGCTGACCGAAGTCTGTTAAGTTTTTGTCTCATATTGGCAAGATGTGAACCTGACTTTTCACATGCTATTTTACTGACAGTCTATTTTAAAATTTAAAATAAATTGTTATTACTCTTGATTTCAAGGTCATGAAGTTTACTCATTTCTTTGTATTGCATGGAACAAAATTAATTTTTTAAATATTTTATACAGCGTCAACTTTCAGATCCCTTCAAAATGCAAGAAAATAAAGATTCCCCACAACAATAAAATGAAAATTTACCTTCAGCCTATTTGCCACTGGACTTACTACAAGTCCAAGATCAACCAAACAGGTTGAATCACTTTAAAATCTCAATGGCCTCATATTTCAAAAGATCATCTTTTTGTAAGTGACGTCATTCTGGAACATTAAAATGTCTTACAAATGTACATTTCAGAACTTAATTCATTCAAATGAATAGTATTCCCTTCAGAGCAATTATCTTAAAACGGAAAGTCCTCTTTCCAGTAATAATTTCATTGCTTAAAATATTTTGAGAACTGTCTATATTCCTCTCAGGAACTAATAAAAAGAAAACTGGCCTGTTTTTAGTCCTATTTTCTTTTTTTGACTCTAAGTCGCGTAAACCATCTTTCTCATCTACTTATTATCTAGACCTGGCAATAATTTTTTGTGGTGTTGTTTCCGATGATCAGAGATCAAAAAATCTGTTGCCATCAAAGATATTTGGAAGATTGTGCTACAGAATTTGAGGACAATCTCAAAAAGGGAATTTCAAAAGTATGGTTCAAGCCATGTCAACAAAATTTAGAATGCTGCGCTCAGCTTCGCAAGGTCAGGGCTCCTGGAGGAACATCACTCACTTTCCTTCTTGTCCTGCCTTTTGTGGCTGATCCCCTGTCAATGGTTGGCTCCTGACATTGGGCAAGCTGCTTGTTTCCTCATCTATAAAATGATGCCAAAGGACTAGATGCCCGCAGAGGATCTTTCCAGTTCTAAAATTCTAGAACAATGATGCATGTTTCTCTACGTGACAGTTGGTTGTTTTTTTTTGTTTGTTTTTTTGTTTGTTTTTAATTAAAAGTCACATTAGAGCCGGGCGCGGTGGCTCAAGCCTGTAATCCCAGCACTTTGGGAGGCCGAGGCGGGTGGATCACGAGGTCAAGAGATCAAGACCATCCTGGTCAACATGGTGAAACCCCGTCTCTACTAAAAATACAAAAAAATAGCTGGGCATGGTGGCGCGTGCCTGTAATCCCAGCTACTCAGGAGGCTGAGGCAGGAGGATTGCCTGAACCCAGGAGGCGGAGGTTGCGGTGAGCCGAGATCGTGCCATTGCACTCCAGCCCGGGTAACAAGAGCGAAACTCCGTCCCCCCAAAAAAAAGAAAAAAATAAAAAATAAAAGTCACATTAGGCCACACCATTAATGTATTCAGTCATCATATCAGTGATTGGGGATATTTCTTTCATAGTCTCTTTTCTTCTCACATTCTCCTGTATTAACATTTAGTGCCATTTAGGGGCAAGAACAAAGTTTTTATTCCATTGGATTTAGAGACTGTGGACATTTAAAAATTTTCATTGCAGATCAGAGACTGTATCAACCTTCTGTGGGGGAGAGAAAAAGAATGTGCAAAGATACTCATGTAACATAAACTTGCTACATTAAAAAAAAAAATCTGCCAACACCCCTGGTTCTCATTCTGATGTCAATCTTTTGTGTATTATGGCACTAATCTGATTGATTCTACTTATTTTTTAAAAGCTTGGCCCTTCCCTTTTCTGTTGGTATTGCAGCAGTTGCTTACCTTAAAGGAAAAATGATGGTCAAAAAATACTTCCTGTGAAATGCTGCCAGTTGCAGGTATTTGCAGAACATGTCTGGTTCTATTTAAGGTGTTTTCTTTCTTTTTTTAGTATCCTTGGCCATATAACCTGATCTTTTTCATAAGAAATGTCAGCAAAGTCTTTGAATTAATGAACTGTGAAGTGCTCAAAACATACCATTTCAAAAAGTATCCTACAAGGATATAACACTAATGGGAGGTGAGCCTTGAGTTTATATCCGAATATCCCACCCTAACTAAAAAGAACTAAGATAACAACTGGCCCAGGCACAATCTCCTTGAACAAAGACCCAGAGAGGAAGAAGTGATGAGGAGTGGGGGAGGTCAGAACCAGAGTAGTAATCTGGAGAAATGTGTTTATGTTAGCTTTTCTAGCTCTGTTGAGCACTTCCATCAAATAATGGAATTATACTAACCCCCCTATAAAAGATACCAGGTGGAGGCAAGCAAAGAGAAGGGAGGAGGTGAGGTGTGTTCAGAAGGTTGATCAAATAAATCTGAATGGTAGGTCCTTGGCTACGCCTAATGTGGGTTTTGTTTTCTTTTAATTTTGCCATTAAAAAAATGCGGTGTCACTCCTTCAATCTTTTTACAATTCTGCATGGTTGAACATTTGAAATGAGTTTGTGTATCACCCTCAGGCGCTGATTCAGACTTGATTGGGGCAAAGCAGACTGCATGTGCTTATTTTTACCCACGTCATTTGGGACGTTATGTCGCCAAAGGAACCAAAAATGTGCTGATCTATTGCCAAATCATCACCTATCCTTTGATCAGACAGGGCGAAGATCCTCATCAACAAGTTGTGCGACCTTAGTGTAACAGCAATGTCAGGTCAACTTGAGAAAGTGAAGAGAGAGCCCTAGACACAAATAAAAAGAAACAACCAACAATCCTTATAATTATCATCATCTGCTGCTTTTCCCTCTTTTGGCAAAGAAACACTCCATCCATTTGCAGAAATCGCCCGCGGAAACGTTACATCAAAACTAATCACAACGATTAAAATCAGCTTTTCTGTGCAAGAGGCGGGTGAAAAGCAAGTTGGAGGCTGGAATGAGACTGTTTTTCCACCAAAAAAAAAAAAAATCCGGAAAAAAATTTCCTATATGTATATTTCTCTATACGTATATGTAGAGCTTTATTTTTGAAGGAGATCAATTGTCTGCCCTGTGATCAGTTAATTTTAAGTTTTATTTTGGAGATTGATTTAGACTAGAGGTAGAGGCATGAGCTAATTGTATCCTGATCCTTGCCTTGAGGGGTTTCAAAGCCCTGGAGCAACTCTTCTCTGTATTTTGTTCTGTCTACCTTAGCCAAGCTATTGCATTTCTCTCTGGTGTGGCGAGCCGAGCAGATCGCTGGGAGAGAAATCGGAAAAGGGGGGAGAGGAAAAGGAAAAGGGGACTTGGAGAGAGACTTTGTGCTTCAATGTTTCAGGTAAGATCTGACGGTTTGGGTTTGTTATTATTTGCTAAGGAGGGTATGGCTGGGACTTTGGGCGCAACTCGCTTTTACGCATGTGCCAGGCATGGGGCGAGAGCGCGGCACACTCGCACACACGCCGCCCGCCGTGACGGGCGGCTCGGGATCCGTTCGGACCCGCGGCGGGGCAGGGGCCGCCGCCTCCTCCGGGGCTGCCGCTGCCGGTTCTCGGCTTTCTTCCTCCAGTGGGAGCCGGCGCGAGCGGGGCGGAGCGGGCAGGAGGAGCGGGTGCGGCCGGCCGGGGCCGCTACCGGGGGCCGGGAGCCCGCGCGCCGGGGCCGGGTTTCCGGATCTCTGGGTCGGGTTCCGGATCTTGGAGAGGAGCCGCCGCGGCTGTGGGAGCCCGTGCCAGCGCCGCCCGCCCGCCGCTCCGCGCGCCAGCCTCCCCCGCGACCGCTCCGCCGCGGCTCTCCCCCGCCCTCCCCGAATCCCTCCCTCCTCCCCCGAGCCCCGCGCGTCCCTTTCTTCCCCGGCGCAGAGCTCCGCGCCCGCAAAGCGGCCCCGCCGAGAGCGCCCAGCGCCGCGGGGGCGCCCCGAGCCAAGCGCACATCCCTGCGGGGCGCGCGGGGGGCGGTGGTGCCCGGGGCTGCGCGCCTGCCGGGGTAAGGGGCCCGCCGCCTCCTTCTCGCAGGCAGCTCGGCGGTGCCCCCGGACGCCCCGTGAAAGACGCCATTGTGGCTGCGGAGCGGATTGGGGCCCGGGGCGGTTTTTCCTTCCCCTTTTTGCCCGGGCCGGACCGCGCCGCTCCCCTTTGTGAGCCGCGGCCGGCGCCCGGCGCTGTTCGTCTCCAGCCGGGCTGATCCAGATTCGCCGCCTCCGCCCACCCGGGCGCCTTTAAAGCCCCCTCCCACTCCCTCCCATCTCCAGCCCCCCTCCCTCTTTTGGATGCAAACGTTTCATTTATTTTTAAAAAGCTCTCATTCCTCTTCCTCCCCACCTCCTCCCCGGATAGAGGGCACGGCACATGCTCGGGATTAGAAGTCTCCTTGGGAGGCGGGGACGGGGTGGGGGCGGCGCTGGGACGGCGGCAGGATGCGAGCGCCGCAGGTAATGGCTGTGGCTTTGCTGCGCTCGCCTCTTCTCCGCGAGGCCGGGAGCGCGGAGGCCGGAGGCCGCATCCTTCCCTCCTCTCCTGGCGGCTTAGGTTCCCTTAAAGGGACCGAGTTTCCCGGCCGCCTCTGGTCTTCGCCGTCTGAACCAGCGCTCGGGGCGCAGAGGTGGACGGGAGGGATGCAGTTTGGATCCTTTCTGACCTCTTTCCTCCTCCGCTCCCCCCAACTCCCGCCGCACCCCACCGCTTTCGCCGCCCCCACCACCCACGCACTCCCGCCGCCCCTCTTTATTGAAATGTGAAGTGTGCTTCCTCTCCTGCCCCCAAGAGGGACCTGGCTGGAAAGCAGAGTCCGCGCCTCCCGGAAAAAGAACCGGGCGGGGTGGCTGGGGGGCGTCACGGTGAATTCGCGTTTAAAGTGATGTCGAGCCCCAAAACATCCAGGAAGAGGAAAGCAGACCTGTGGTGCAGGAATCCCTTACCTGCACGCGCGCTCCGCGCAGCCGCGCCGCCACCGCAACTTGCGAACTGTCGCGGGTAGACAGTGTTTGCCTTTGTACTTTCGAACACTTGCACTGTCGTGGAAATGATTTTCTGTTATCAAAACGTTTTCACAGTGACTGTGCTTCGGGGGCCTGCTGGGCGGAAGCCAACTAAGTTAGCAAAGTTGCAGATGGGGCCGTTGGCTTTGTACGTGGAGAACGGCACGCGAGAACTGTCCGGGATCCCGGTGGCACCGGCTGCCTCGTTAAAAGGTGCACCGCAGTAGGCAGGAGTAATTTGGTACAAAAGCATTACCTTTTATATCATAGAACTGGCTGATTTCAAGCAAATCCTTGACTATGCTCTGTGTGTGCGTGTGTCTGTGTGTGTGTGTGTGTGTATCCAGGGTGGTACTGGGAGACATAACAGTTTAACATATTCTTTAAGAAACGTTTGCCTTCTGTTTTCAATCAACTAAGCTGGCAGCTAGAGATACAAGTTTATTTGAGAATACCCTCTGGGTACCAAGCATGCTTGGATTGTTTTAGCAAATTAAAAATGAGCAAAATGCTTTTACCTTCTCAGCAGTAGACTCCTTAAGAGACCTCCTGTTTTGTGTGTATGTGTGCGTTTTTTTAGAGAAACATTTTCTGTGTGTATCTCAAATGTGTTTTTAATGTGGAAAAGGAGAAAATAAAGGATTTTAAAAGGCGGAGGCTGATGCCGGAGAATGATTCATTAAATCTGATTCTACATCAAGGAATTCACCTACATTTATGGGAATCTGTGGCAACTAATAGCCTACTTGGTGAATTTAAAATAGCAGTGGATCCATGTGTCTCCTGGATTATGGGCAGTGTGCCGATTTATTCCTCGTGTTTGTATTTGTGTGGCATTTGGCTTACTATGAGGGGCTGATGTTCAGGAAACTACACACTGACTGCAACAATTTGACTCAGGAGTCCCGCTGCTGCCTGAATGGAAGGAATTGTGAGCGGTTGTTAGGATGACAGTAGGTTAAATGTTTACTAATTAGGTTGCAAAGGTGACCAGGAAACTTTAAAACTTTGCATCAATGAGAAAACTTCATTGGGTTAGGCTTATGTTCCTAAGAAGATCGTTAACTAATGAGGCAAAAATGTCACACATTAGCCGGGAAGAAATTTTGAAATGAATTGAGTGTGAAAGATATTTGGCAAAAATCTCCCACCACCGTATGCAAAATGACTGCAGTGATTTTGCTGTATTAATTATGCCTGGAGCACAATATAAAGTTCTCCAACACACACTAGAGGTCTCTCTTCTAGCTATAAGATTTTTGTGTTTGTAATTCTTTGCTGGGGCTTGCATAGTAGGGGTGCACAGTAATAGCTTGGTTCATACTTAAGTAATAATGATTTACTGACCATTCAGCTTACTCTGATGTGAGATATTTAGTTTTGGGGGTAGGCTTCAGTGATCATTGGACAAATTATACCACTTAAGTACTAGGAAAGTAACTTCAGTAAGACTTCAACTAGATGATGATGAAAGCATACTATTCGATTTGCGTTGAATAATGCATTATGGACCTTTTGGCATCAAATTATTTATCCAAAGCAATTTGTTTTTAAATGTAAGAGTAATTAGTAACAGATGTATTTTATCCGAGAACTTTCTTAAATTAAACCTCCATTTAGCTCTGTGTTTAGCAGTAACAATTGCTTGCACAAATGCTTTCTTGCCTTAATGTTTCTGAATCAGAATGATAGTTTTCTGCTTTTGATGTGATGCCTTTACTAAGAGCTTTTCCCATTTGCTTTGCTTTTGAGTCATTCAAATGATGTTGTGAACCATCAGTTCACCAACGCTTTTATTCCGTTGTTTATTAAACTGCATTTCTGAACCTTCTTTTGTATTGCAGTTTATAATTTCCCAAGCAAACAGAGTGTTTATTTGCTCCATCTTTAGAATGAACTATCTTGGGAATAAAAATGAAATTTTTGGATGCAAGCATATATGCTTATTTTAATAGCTTACTCATGCAGAAGTGAGACACAACTCGCTCTGGCTTTTCATTCATAAAAACGTGCTAGATGTAAATAATGTTTTGCTTGTTGATGAGTTTGGTTTGAGATAACTGCAGAAAACAAAACAGAGAGATTATCCTTTAAGAATAACAAGGCTGTGTTCATTAGGTCCATTCATTCATTGAACAAATATTTGTGCCTGCTGTGTAAAAACTTCTATGTTAAATGCTGGAGACACAATGGTGAGAAAAAGCATTCAGAGCCTCCAACCTCCTAGAGCTTACAGCCCAGACAGAGAGGCAGACATTCATTGAATAATTGGACAACCGACAGAGATGAGTGCTTTGAAGGAAAAGGAATATGGGTTCCCCTAGCACTGACTTAAAGAGGGGGCAAAATGGCCCGGACCAGGGTCGGAAGTGCCACAAACTGAGATCTAAAGGATGAAGAGGACTGGGCAAGGAAGAGAGAGAGAACAGAGACCAACTTCCAGGGAAAGAGAAGAAGCGACAGCATTTTACCAAGCCAGGAGAGGCTTAGCAAAGGGGGAGGAACTTAAGGCTTACCTGGCTGGAGTTGAGAGACGGAGACACTCTGAGAAGTGGTTAGACGGACCCAGGTGGATGCAGTGTAGCCCTTGGAGGACTATTACAGTTATCCAGTCAGGAGAAGATCTAGCTGGGGCTAGGGTAGGGGAAACACTGATGGAAGGGGTTTGAGATCTATTTAGAGGGGAAAGTTTACAGAATCTGATAAAACCTTGGCCATAGGTGAACAAGAAGAAAGAATTGTCAAGTGGACCCCAAGGTTTCAGGCATGTTAATTGAATAGACATGGGAATTCTGAAGCCCAGGTGGATTTTGTATCTTTCACTTTATTTCTAATAGCCAGATTAAGTAGCAGTGAGAAGCCTCATTCACATCCGATGTAACTACATTCACAAAGGAAAGCAAAGCATCTAGTCATTCTTTTATCCCTCCATTTGTTCAACAGTTGGGTCTGGAGTGCCTACAGTGTATCAGGCACGAATCTGCCTTCCCTTTTTGTCCTGTTATCCAAAATGCCTTTTCCTTTATGAAGTTGTACCACGTAGTTCCATTTATCTAAGTTTGACTAAGTTGGAATTCATCATTAAAGTAGGCCTGTATTGAGCCCTCTGAAACAAACCTGTGCTTTGATGGTGCAAATTAATTGTGTTAAAATATTATCGACATGTCAAATGATTATAAAATGAATGGTTGGACGCTTTTAAAAAGTCCATTTACATACAAATAACTGACACAGTGATGCAAATCACTCAACTGAGAATACTTAGAATATCACTCTCTCCGTAGGGGTGTACAAATGCAATTCCGTAAGCTACTTTTCTCGGTGATTCTCATGTGGATGGCCCTGAGGGCAAACTCCAGTTGGAAAAACAAGCATCATTTTGGCCTTTTCCTTTTTCTCTATAAAAATGGGAATGATGCCATCTGTCAAACCTACCTTATAGGATTGTTAAGAGGAAAAATAAGAGTATGTCAAACTGAAGTAGAAATAAGTAGTACCAAGCAACCCCAAAGGGCACTTTCTCTGGAGGAGCTGCCCCAAGTCTGGCCCCTGCCTGCCTCAGTCCCTCGGGCCACATTAATCCCACCTTATCCCAGCTGCCTCTGAAACCCCAGGCACAGGTAACATCAATGGCTAAGATTTAGGGAAAAAAGTAGCAGAGGTGATGTGGAATACCTACCTCCCTGAGCACTCCAAAGAAGACTGTGAGGCAAGTAGTATTCTGCGTCCATCTTATTATACACCTACCCCACTTGGTGTCCACTTGGCACTTCTCTCCCCTTGTTCACCTATGGCCAACCCAACCTTTTATTAGGCTCTGTAAACTTCACTACCTTCTTTTTTTTTTTTTTTTTTTTTTTTTTTTTTTTTTTTTTTGATACGCAGTCTTGATCTGTCGCCCAGGCTGGAGAGCAGTGGCATGATCTCGGGTCACTGCAACCTCCGCCTCCCAGGTTCAAGTGATTCTCATGTCTCAGCCTCCTAAGTAGCTGGGACTACAGGCAGCCGCCACCATTCCCGGCTGATTTTTCTATTCTTAGTAGAGGCAGGGTTTCACCATGTTGATCAGGCTGGTCTTGAACTCCTGACCTCAAGTGATCTGCCCGCCTCAGCCTCCCAAAGTGCTGGGATTAAGGTGGGAGCCACAATGCCCGGCCAACTAACTTTCCCTTCTAAGTAGATCTCAGACTCTTCCATCAGTGTTTCCCCTACCCTAACCCCAGCTGTATCTCCTCTTGCCTGGAGGATTAGAAGGGTTATGAGCTTTGCTTAAAGTCAAAGACTAGGCTAGTTGCAGAGCAGGTATTCTAACTCAGCTGGCTGACTAACACCCTGCCATTAGCCCCTGTTAGGCATTCTGCCGTCTCATCTACACCCATAGTCCTTTCTGTCCCGGACATACTATTTAAGAGGGCTTGCTTGTTCTGAAACCAGCTTCCGTTCCTCCTCTCCTCTCTTCCCCCTCACCTCTGTAGTCCCTACAACAGCAGCACCCGACTGTTAAGCCAAGAGAGAAAGAAAAAACCAAAAACAGTGTGAGATTGTTGTGATCAGAACATGTGAATTGGTCTCTACCTCTTGCTGAGCAAATCGTTTACTCACAAGTACTCTGTCAAAATAGGGATTTGTTTTCTGTCCAATGAGAACTGACAACAATTTAGCCCTTGCTGCCAACACCAATGCTGCTATTAGGAAGAAGGGTTATGAACTGAAGAGAATGTTAACTAGATAGAGTTCAAATGCTGGCTAGAGGAAGGGATATTCTTCCTGATAAATCTTTCCAAATCATCTACTGCTATTATCACTTAACTTGTTTTTGTAGCATTTTCACTTTGCTGGAAATTTGTAGCTAATGGAACAGAAAATGTGTGTAAACAAAAGACCCAGACTTTCTATGTGTCGGGGTGGCAGTGGGCGGTGGAGGGTAGAAAAAGCTACATTGGTCCATGGTACTGATCCTCCCATTCACTCTCAGTACCCCGTATGCAAATCCCACTTCATCTCTGGAGTCTGTGCTATATTTTCTTGATTAAATTACTTACTCTCTCTAAACTTCAGTCTTCTGAACTATAAATGAAATAATAATATGAGATCATTGTAAAGGAGATAATAGTAGTCCTAGGGTTGTTCAGAGAATAAAATGAGATGTAACAGGACGTATATGTCTAGCACAAAATAAGCACTCAGAAAATATCCATATATTATTAAGAGTAGGGACTGTGTTTATTCACCTTCGTTTTCTCAGTTCCTTAATACAGTGCCTGACACACAGATAAGTGCTCAATAAATAACTGTTGGATACATGAACACAGAATTTCTGAGAAGACAAGAATAAAGTCAGTTGTTGATTTCACTTCCCTGTAAGTCCTTT